CCAGTTCTGGATGGACTCTTATGACAATCACTTTGCAAACAGCTTGTTTCTGCAATTTGTGAAAATTGAATATTCATCATTTCTCTAATCCTCTGAGACTACCATTCTTTGCCTTATAATATGCACAACTTTCGTTATCTTCAAATTTAGTTTGTATTTACTGGCTGCACAAGAGAAGCAGAACCCAATAATTTTGCAATTGGGAGGAAAGTTATCTTTGCAGTGCTGTAATTTTCTACACACCATGTCTAGTAAGTGTATCTACTAGATTCTTCTTGAACGTGTCATGTTACTGGGAACTCCATACTTCTCAAGGAATTTCATTTGATTTTTGAACAGTTGCTGCTGTCAGAAAAATCTTCACGATTCTATAAAATCTGCCCTTTTCTAACTTCCATTCAATATTTTTTTGTTTTAGCCTCTGGATCTATCTAAAATAAGTGGTCCTTTTTCTATAAGACTGCTAATTAATTATAAGACTGCAGTTTTTGAATTGACATGTACACTTCTCTCTGCGCTTTTTTCAAAAAGTGCAGCTTTGTTTTTCAGTTGGAAATGATGTACTGATTTTTTTTATGAGAAAAAGAAGAAGGGTTTCACGAATGGTCTGATGGCTGTGTTTCTGCTGGGTCCATTCCTCTCCGCCTGCTGCCCAAGTATTTTCTCTGCAGGGGAACCTTGCCAGGGTTCTGTTGTCTGAACTTTACCCCAAAGGGAAAAAAGCAGTCACTCTTCAAAGGCTCAGTGGTTCCTCTAATCAAGCAAACACAACAGTTGACCTTTTTTTTTTGAAACTTGACAATTTAAATTTATTCGTTAGTCATTGAATATGTGAAAACAACCCCAAACATTGAAGTAACTCATGTTAAGGAATGTCTAGCAGACATCAAATGGCAGCTAAATTATTTAAGTACTCTGAATCATCTTGTCTGCCAAAATTCTGTGTTATCTGATGTGATGTTCTATGGGCAAAAAAAAAAAAAAAAAACCTCCAAAAAATTCTGTGTTAAAATTTATTAAAGCCTGGATGGTAGAAGTAGCTATGGCAGGGAGAAGGAGGCAAAACGTTGATACTTGCTCGTGATCTGTCACTGATCGATTTAGCTATCTTGATTCTTCTCATTGTTTTTTCAAACAGAGAACAAACGCTTTGTGTAGTTGGGGATCTTTACTTTTAAGCAACAGAAATAGCCTCTGGATAACTTAGACAAGAAAAAGGTAAACCGAAGGAAAATCGGAGGAGGCAGTTCTGAGTAAGTCAGGATTCAGGGAAATTAGGAGGGTTCCCACAGACAGAACCCTCTCCTCCCAGTTTTGGTTGCAGTTCTCAAATTGGCTTGACACGCTACACTGGTGAAACTTGGCAGGTAAAGGCTTCTTTTAAAGTCATTGGAAGCTCAGTTGCCATCTTTGTTTCCTCCCATAGAGATACTGATTTAATTCAGGTCTCAGAAACATTACGGGTTTTTTCTGCCCATCATCGTTTGGGATTTGTTGTAGATGTTTTCCAGGGAGGGGGAATGGTGGTTAGGTTTTGCTGTCCTACTTGCTCTGTGTTTTTTTATGGGGAGAGTCAAAGAGA